ATAAGGGTTATTTGGTGTAACTCTAAGGTTACCATCTTATTAACATGAAGTAAAATTAATCTTGAAGTATGTTAATCTAAAGTGAAGCGTACTAGATAATGTGCTTGTTTTTATTTAATCGGTTCTCTTTTGTGCTTCCAAAATTATGAGAAATTGGCATTTATCTTTTTCTTTCATTTCCTTAATTGTACCTGCCCTGATGGTTACATTACTATTTACCACCCTTAATTCTAAATAGATAAGGAAAAATATTATTATATCTTTTGAGAAAACTAATTTCGTCGTTGAACTTATCCACAATTAAGAAAATAAAAAATGTTTCAAATAGTTAGGGCTAAATGAGAAAATTAGTAAGTACTGGTTAATTATAATTAAGCTGATAATATGATCAAATTAAGACTGATTTCCACTGAAAGCATTTTAAACCATTGCAATGTTTTGTTTTGTTTGACATACAATAAAATTCTGAGCTTTAAACCAAGTCGTCTTGATCCAGTGGTAAAGGAGAGAAAAGTCTCTGTCACCTCGGTTCGAGTAGTATAGGCCACCAAGGTTCGATCGGACCCCCATAATTAGTTTTAGGACCTCAAAAGCATTTAAAATCACCTGAGTTATATATAAAAAAAAAAAAATTCTGAGCTTTATGTAAGTTTAAATTCTAAATTAAATTTTTTCCAAAAAAAAGTTTATCACTTCTAATACATTTTTTCTGCTGTTCGAATTAAATATTTGGGAAGATATTTTAAAAGCGAGGCTTTGATCAGCAGAGAAAGTAAAACTAAAGGAAGACCATATATATTAAATATTAGTGAGAAGTACGTACTCATATAATACAGAATGGAATATAAAAATCAACTTACTCGAATAATCCCATCTTTGCATAGATGTATCATGTACGCCACGACAAAATTCGTAATCAGTCTCAAGTACACATGCACGCATGCATTAGACAACGATATGTCTCTCTCTATATAACTTTTTTTCTATTAAAGAAATTTCTCGTACTGGCCATTTTAACGCAATGTAGAACTCATTTGTAACTCGATATAAAAAGGTCGAGGGAATATCGCAACTTCTCGTTTTCTACCTCGTTGAACTGTCGCATGATTACTGAAAACAAGAGATTACCTAAAACTTAAATTAATTACAAACCTTTTATCAGAAAAGAAAATTCATATTAATTTAATAAAGGATAACCTATATAATTAGAAAATTTGTTATTAAAATTATGTAAAATTCCATTTGAAACGATGAGATAGTTAGGTCGTCTTTGTATTTTTAGCTAAAACAATTTCTAAAATCTCACCTAAAATCACTTAAATTACTTCAACTCCACTACTTAAAAATGTTTCAGTGGATTTGACTGTACATTTTAAATTTTTTAATCGAATAATATTTAATTTCAGAAGAATTTTTAAAATTTAATAAAAATCATTCCAAACTTTTTATTGTATGTCTTGTGGATATGTTAGTATGTACTATTCCAACAAGAATCGGATAAGGTTTAAACAAGGGTGACTAAAACTTGTAAACCTAATTAACACGTAATGTAAGTGTCATATTATATTTCAGCCACAAAAATAAAAAATTATCTCTAGTGGTTTCTAAACACACATAGATGTGATGGATCACAAGGTTCAATCTAGATTCTAAATTGGATTTAATCGGATGCATCCTTAATTTCTCAAAGAAATATAGGTCTTAAACGTATTTTTGTGGTTCGGTCCAAAATCATATTTTTATTTTTGATATAGGAAAGATGAATCATTGAAAACAATTTTAAGATATGCTTTGGTTTCCTGATCGAGTGTTATAGTTCGTTTTTTATTCTTTTCGTATTAGGTCATCTCTTTTAACTTGGCCGAATCGACAGTATCACACGATAGGTTTAGAGAAAAGCACACAACCTTTGCTGCTTTATAATGCTTACCAACTCGAATGGCATTTGCATTCTCGTGTTTGATTAATTTAATAGATAAAGTGATTAATGTCTTTTAGTACTTAAAGGTTATAATGGTATTGTAAAACTTAATTTAACAAAGGAACGTGTAATTTTTTTTTCCTATCAAGAAAACTGCAGTTTGAACTTTAACAGAGATTCTAAAAGAGTAATATAATATGAATCAATGGTACGAACAATTGAAGAATTATGCTTAGGTTGGAAAAAAAAAAATCCTTTTTCATATATTCAAAACAAATATAACATTGCAAGCCCCTGATTCTTCCAAAGTTGTGCTTCCACCTTGAATCTTTCTCTAGCTTACCGTATCAAACATAAGAAACGGTAAAAAATGAGTGAATATCTCTTAAAAGATCGGCCCTCACTACCATTATTAACTCTGGTAAACAACGAGTAAATATCCCAATCGTTCTTCGAGGAGATGAATCTCACAAAGAATTTAGTGAAGGTTGTTTATTTGGTTATAAGCCTCATGCTTTTGGTCAAGTTTAGAGTGTTCTAAACCATATGTGGACAAAAGAAAGCAGTTGATATTCATGTTAGTATTGGATCAAGAACAATGATTATCAGAGTACTAATTAAAGCGTCTCTGGTAGATTGGCACATCTATGCTCCATGTACTTCAGTGGACTCATGGATTCATTCCTAATGAGCTCATCTTCAAAGTATACTTTTTGACCTGATGATCCACTAGAAGGATTAAGTTATGTGTTTGGCTTAATTAGTTGGAAAGCCACTAAAAAAAGAAGAATATATATAAACAAATAAACTCACCAGTACGTGTTGCCTAGATTAAACCTCTTCCAAAACTTGTTAAAAAAGAGAGAGAGGGGAGATTGTCAAGATGTCCCTTTTGAAAGTTCCCTTGAATTATATTCCTTTAACATGCAAAAAATATTGATCATGTAATGAGAAATTGCTCTGGGATAACATTGAATCCAAAATATTCCTAATCTTACTTTTGCTAAAGAGACAACTATCATCAATATAGATCCCACTCATAAATCTCCATACAGAAACTGCTACTTCCCCTTGTCCAGCCTTACTTTCTCCTGCCCTTCCTCAGGCCATATCTACCCTACCATCTGAGTCTCTAATCGCAACTCTCCAACCTCCGTTGCCTTCATAATATTTGCCATTTCCTCTAGCCATAATTTCATCCTCATCTCCGACCCCTTATTTCTATCTATAGTATATGCCCCAACAGCACGTACACTGCCTCTTCCAAAACCTTCTCTTTTAATGAACCATTTGCAATCTCTCATGGTCAATCCAATTTTTTGTGTATTATACTCCCCATCCTATGCATTTTAATCCCTATGAGAGATCATTCCTTATCTAAGAAGAGTCTCTAATCCCCTTTTCTAGGAATTTCCGAGGCCTAACTAACCTGGATAAAACCTTTCCTTTGCATACTCACGGAATAGATATATCATTTGCATTACTTCTAAAAGTTAAAAAGAATTTATAAGAATTTATACAACTATACAAGCCTTGCAAGAAAATATAAATTTGAACTCTTTTCTTTAATTACGTTTGGACTAAAACATCGTTTGCAACACCTATAAAGGTTTAGATGTATGCAGACACATATATCTTACAATTGTACAATTAATATTTACTACAAAAATTTGAAACATTTTGTCGATTCTTAGGGTTAGAAACACCACTATGTAAAATTTTATTTCAAAAAAATAAAGCCATTTTTACGATAGAATGCTTCTTATATATGTACTTTAAGATTTTGGTTCAAAATTTTCTGGTTTGTATCGTGTTCATGTTTTCCTTGTATAAGGCTTAGACTCCGGAGAATTATCGTTTTTTTCCGGCTTATTTTCTGAGAACTTTCTATTGTCCGCCGGCTTAGCTTCCTTTGTTTGGGTTTTGTATTTCACTTTGGTTCCTCAATAAGTTTCAATAATAAAAATTCAGATAAAAAAAAAAGTACTTTAAGAGCTATAGAAAGCTAAATGAGTAATTATAGTGAAAGAAATTTGTGAAACAGAGAGTTAGGGACGTGTGCTAACCAAATAAAGTATGTGTAGTTGGTAGAGATTCTCAGTCTTTCAAATATATTGTTTTAATACATATAATATAATTTTATTGTTTATTTAAAATTTAGATAGTAAGAAAAAATGTAAAATCATGTGTTGAAGTAGTCTTCAAAAGGTTCTTAATGCTTTAAGAATTCTCGTTGGAGAACCGATTCTCATATTTCTCTCAAACTTTTTACTATTTATTATTTTTTATATTATTGAGAATTTTTAAAGCATGTTTAGTGAGAGTCTCTCACCCATATAAAATATAAAATATTAATAAAGTAAAAATAAAATAAAAATAACACATGTTTCAATATAATTAGTTATGAGTTTTATTTATACTTTAAATTTTAAATAAAAATAAATTATATAAAAATTATAAAATAATATATTTGAATGACTAAAAGAGACTCTTCTTTTCTTAATTGGACAACCAATTAATGAATTATTTATTAATTAATGTGTGGTTTAAAAAAAAAAAAAAAGAGGTTCTCTCCACTTTTATAAGAACTTCCTACTTCACATACTTTCCGGAAGTCATCATAACTATAAATTAATAAACACCTGTTCCATTTTTTTAACTGGCTTGCCTTTCTTTTTTTCAACACGGGTATTAATTTTAAACTTTATAATTCTTAATAGGGGTTGACAAAGAAGAAATTTCTTGTATACAAAGATGAGTAGTATTTAAGAGTGTGAACTCGTTACCGGATGATACGACTAAAAAGGAAAGTTAAGTGATTCTATATATAGAAAAAAAATTAGCAGAATAAGAAGATAAGATATAATGAACAGAGTGACTAATAAATTAAGGTATGTCGTCCGAATAAGAGTATAAGACTATAGATATATCATACATAATATATGCAACTCCACTGAGCTATCTTATGCATATTTCGTTGGTATCTTAACTAATTAGTGGCCACTATATATGCATATTATTATATCTTCTTTATCCTTTCCATTCTTTTATCTATAAATAGATTCACTTAAGCTTCTTCTCAATCATCTCTTCCACAGTCGAGCTTGGTCACTACACCACCCCAACCACTAATCTTTTCTTAATTTCATTTGTTTCAACATCACTCTCAATATGGCTTCTAAAGCGTTATTGTTATTTGTTATGCTCACATTTCTATTGGTAATTGCAATGGAAGGAAGGATACTTGGGGTTAATTCAAAGAGTGAAGATGGTGAGAGCAACGATCTTTTGCAACGGTTAGGTTACAATGTTTCTGAACTAAAGCGTATTGGCCGAGAGCTTTCCGTCCAAAACGAAGTAGATAGGTTTTCTCCAGGAGGACCTGACCCTCAACATCACTCTTATCCTTTGTCTTCAAAACCCTAAAATTTGACCAGAGTTTGTGTTGCGCAGCTTTGCCATGTATAATATTATTATTATTTCCTGTCAAATATTGTCGACTTCTGAAGTCAATGTGATGTTTGAAAGTATAAGCTGTAAGATTGAGGGTCTCCTGAAGTGTACTTGTAATTAAATTTGATGACTTGAACCAATATTTTGTTTTCTTCCTCATGCGAACGACCACCTCCGGTAGACGCATGCACATTGCGGGCTAAAGTTGTTTGTTTTTTTTTTATTATTATTATTTGTCAGCTCTTATAGCTTTATCATCATATTGCTAAAACAATAGTTTTACCCACCAAAATATATAAATTAGATCATATAATGATCTAAAAAGTGTTTAATTACTACCATAGAACCATTAGTTACTCCAAGCCTAACAACAACGAAATGACATTGCGTGAAATATCATCAAGTTATCCTACTTTGAGCACATATATACCTGACTACATTTAAATACCACACTCGCCCTTCTGATATTTTTAGTTGATGTCTCTAATGCAAAAACAAAAACAAAAAACACAATATGTTTTAGTTTTACATATTGTATCACCTATAAAATTGGTCTCACGCAATATATTGAAACAAAACTCTCAGAAATTCAGTCCATCGACAAAACCTTAAGCAAAGAAACTCGCAGTGTCAGATGAAGTAATAAATATTTTAAAAATCTCAGAAAATGAACAAGGAAGCCATTCGATTACTCCACAGTTTGGAATCTTTTCACTGGCGGCCTGAGAAAATAAACCGTCACAGATTTTATATAAAAAAAGCCCCCGAAAGTGCGTTCACAAATGTTTTCAAAATTTTAAACCAGCGTGGTTTTACTTTTCGGTTGAAGTGTTTCAGTATGTCCTTAGCATCCGGCCAAAACAGGATGTCAAGCAGTGGATTTGTGAAAATACTCTCCACAATACAACAATCTGAGAATTCATTAAATAAATAATGTCATTGATATCATTTCTTCTATGATTTGTTATGGACGGGTTTCAAAAATCATTTTGCCTTTTTAAATAACTGTATCATAAGTATGATATTTTGGTAGATGAATAAAGTCATCATTTTCTTGCAATCGTTTTTGTCATGAATATCTTTTTTTCGAAAATGCATATTAATTTTGTCGCAAAGTTTCTCTCGTAGCACATAATTACATCTGCTAACAACTTCACCCTGACCCTGAATCACTGGACAACACATTTTGTAATATGGGCCGGGTATTCATCAGCAATCTTATGCACATTATTTCACTTAACATATCTAGTTTCATACTCACTTCGTTAGCTTTACAAACGTAGCTTAGGGAAAGAAACAACCTCGTCATGTCATGGTTTTTCGAACTACATAAAAGTCATTCATAATTACATCTCATCACCTAAGCAATTCTTGGTTTGGTTTCAAGAGTTTTTAATTAGTTCTTTTAAAAAACAATTCAAACGAAAAAATATGAAAACAAGTAAAAGTCCCAATTCTTTTTTTTTTTTTCTACAACTTCTAATTAATCAATGAATTCAACTTTTTTTCAAAAAAATAAAGATTGAACCAATTCACGACACAACAAGAAAAAGGTTGCATCATCGAATGTTTTCTTTTCTAAAGTAATGCCATTACCAACCCTAAATTAGTTAACCTTTTAAGAATAGCCTTTTTTAATTATAAGTTTCACATGAAGAAAATAACATGCATTGATAAAGAAAAAGAAAAATGACGTAAGTGAAAGCATGTAAATGGGACGGTGACCTTCGACCGTGGCGAATTGTTTCGAACTAAAGCGTGATGGTTTCACTATAAAAGAAATCCACTTTTCATGGTTAGCTTTGATGCTCTTTATTTCCAGTTCTATATTCCATCACTTTATAACGTGTCATGAATAATATACTATGTTGTTATAAAAGTTGTATCTATTTCCCAAATTACTTTATCATAGTCTACTTTAGTCGTATCCACAATATATTTTTCTGATAATGGTCTTCGGCACCAATATAAAACATTTGGGTTTCTGAAAATTAAATAGTGACATGAAGCAAAACAAATAAAAAATAGATTGATTTGATTATACACTGTATAAAAACAAATGTTTTACTAAAACATTAATTACTAGTATTTGTTTTTGCTAAAAAAAGTAATTACTAGTATACAATTGCATCCCATATAACTTGAGTTTTTCTAGCATTGTACTGATGGCATAACATGTACGTATACGTAGTGTCTGTGGTGAATATCTTTATTCATGGGTGTTTTGCATCCTTATAATTTGAGTTTTTTCTAGAATCAAAAGAGCATCACCATTGGAAAATTAACAATATCAAATGAACAGATGTTTTACAAAGTTGAGAAATCCCATTAAAATTATCATAGTTTCTCGAATGAGAAATTTTTATAGGGGTTTCTCAAGTTTTTGAAATATCTACCTATTTTTATATTAATTATTTTTTGAAATTTCCACATGAAAACCCTCTAATAAAAATGCTTTAGCGATGCCGAAGCTAGAGCGTGAGTCAAAACTGTTTGGAGATAGTTTTTCTCTTTTTTGAAATAATGTTTGTTTTTCGCTTTTCACATAAACCATAAAACTGCCGTGATGAGATATAACGTGCAAATGTTAAGAAAGAACATTAGAAATTATACCATTCTCGAAGTCGTGATACAGGGTGTGATAAATTGAGGAGACGAGGATTACCAATGTTAAGAAAGAACATTAGAAATTCTATCATTCTTGAATAATTTTTACACTCACGAAATTGAGCAACAAATTAATTGACTTTATCTTTCAATGTCCTTGATATATATTGCAGTGTATATACTATATTAAAAGATGCAAATCTACTATATATATATAAATATATATTAATATGCACAACAAACAAAGTATTCCAAAGAAATACATGATGACCAATCTATTTGATCTAACTACAGGCAATACGTGCGATTATTATAAATGACTCCACAAACAATTCCACTTTCATAACATGCAACTATTCTTGCAATACCTACAATTCTTACATGCGACATGCTAGTGATTGACAGGTTTTACTCTTACACTCAGAAACCACAACGGACAGTTATGCTTATAATATTCTGGAACTTCCTACTAATCTTACACTATTAATCTTCAAAAAGTGAACTATCTGATAATCTAACCGTAGACCTAGAATAAAAAACTTTTAAATATTTGACACTTTTTAAAATATAATCTTCTTTTTTTTTTCTGTTTTTAATCCAATAGGTTTTAGCTTTAACTTTTTGTAGAGTTTGTCGATTATATATCGATAAGAACTTGAATTTAAATAAGGAAATAATTATCTAACTATATATATATATATATATATCCTACCTAGATTCTTAATAATGCGTCGATCATATATATTGAGGTTTATCTTTATATATATATATATGCGCGTCATTTCTTGTCATTAACAACGATATAAAGAAGTGAATCTACAATGTGGTATCAAATTGGTTGTCCCATGGAAGGCTCAAGGGTCGATAGGAATACATAGAATATACACATGCATGAGCCAATTAATTGAATCTTAAGAATTTAATTATAATTGCTTCTTCTTCTTCTTCTTCCTTTTTTTGTCAAAGTTCATTACACTTATTATTCTTTTCGAGTGTATCACACCTATGCATGATACGATGTACAAATAAAAAAGGTTTATGGTATTAGCGGTCAAAGCGATGACATCCATCGACAGCATGGATTCTTTAGAAATTGATTCGACATCCACGGTGATCATATCTCTCTTTAAGAAGCTCATCCATCCGCAAACACAACGCTCGGCAGATTTTGTCTTTTGACGCATGATCTCGTCTAGCCACCATCTTTTGTTGTTGGAACACCGGCGCATGTGTCTTTATGTGTCTAATAGATTTGGATAAAAAACGAGTACGGAAAAAACCGAATCGGACCAAACTAAATGGAACGCTTTAGATAGGTTTTGGTTCTCTTAAAATATCCGAATAAATCCCTTAGAAATATATTTCGGTTCACGATTTGGATCAGATAGTACTCGAGAACCAAATAAGAACCCGAATATACCTGAAACCCAACTAAACCCATTATCATCTTTTAAATAGATTCGTCGGCTTAAAATCGAGTATCTCCGAGTAATTTGGGTATTTCGGTAGATGTATATAAAAATAATAATTAACCGGAATCTTATGCGATTTTTTTTTACTCTTTTATTCTACTTTTATTTCTTCGATAAGAATCCTGTATAATGAGGTATTTTTGGGTATTATGTGTAAATTTGGATAAAGTAACCAACCTAACTTGTACTTGATAATTTTTGGTTTACAACTAGTTCTCCATTCAAATATCTGAATCGAATTCGAACCGAATTTTTAAAATATTCGAATGGAAACCTAAACTCCTATATCCGAAAAAACCCGAAACCCGAAAGAAGCAAACCGAACTCGAATGGATATCCAAATGCCTAAAACCTAGTATCTAACATAAAGTCTTAGCTATTGAGACATATATTAGACACATTTCCGCTAAACTATTTGTCAATTCTGCTGCGAAACGCTTCTCAAAATCTAGGATTGATTGATTTTCAAGAAACAACTTATAACTTAGAAACTGATTTATTTTTAAACTGAAATCTAATAAAATACATAAAAAATATCATGTTAATGATTAACTTAAAAAAAAAAAAAAATTATATAATATGATAAGTAATTTTGACAAAAGAAAAATATAAAAACTTGAATGTTACTTGCGAATCATGAATTCAGCATTATTTTGAAGGCGCACCGATTTGAGCCCATAAGCCTTACTGCCTTAAGAATGGTAACTTGGCCCATGCACTTAGTATGGCTTTTGTTTCTGTAAGATCTCCCATGCACTTATATTAAAAACCTTAAATTCTAAACTCAATTTTTTTTTTTTTTTGAATATATATTTTTGATGTGGTACAGCTGAATTTTCTTTTAAATTTTTATCATCAAACCTCTTGACCTGGACAAATTATTGAACCTAATCTACTAAACCAGAATCGATTTGAATAAGAAGATACCAAACCGAATCGGAACATACATAAATATTGGAATGGAATCTAGAACCTTCTGTAAAATTGGAACCGAATCCGAACCGAACCAAAAACCGAATGGATACCCAAAAATACATGTAATACAAGTATATACCTA